CCACCCCCCACCCCCCGCTCGTCCTCCGTCATGGCACTCGCGAAGCGAAACTTTACCCGCGCGCCGTCGGGTCACGTATTGAATATATTTACAGGGAACGTACAAACCAGTCCATGCACTTTTCACGAACCTAACTTACTAAATTCTTTACGGGAGCTTTAAAAAGTCTCCCCCCGTGAGAAGGAGGGGCGAGTTCGGCGAATTATTCAATATCGCACCTACGGTTTCGCGAAGGAGAACTGTAGATAGCGTCTATACATATGTATGTCGCTGCATACGTATTGAATGTGTCCGTATCGAATCCAGAAAAAAAAAACTCCAAGCACTTTATATGTTAGAAGAATAGTTGTGCTAAAATATAATTTCGAATTGAAAACGATATTCTTACGAATGTAAATTTTCATTGAGGAGAAAGGAATATTTAAATATTACTTTACAAAGGTTCATATTGTCTCGATAGAATATAGTTAGGTATTTTCTTAAAGGATTCGTAAAAACGAAAACTTAAGAAAGAAAAGGTTGATTTTAATCTTATTTTAATTGTTTTGCTTTTTCAATTGTGACGCGTTGCTTTTTTGTCGAAATCGCCGTCCTTAATGCCATACACGAAGTAGAAATTGATAAATGAGATCATTAAGATTAAGCACGTTTTCGACCGTAATTTCACGTTCGAGTGCTTTTTGTTGCGTCTCCGAGGAGTACCACTTCTCTTTGCGTCTATGGCGTAATGTGCTTATTGTTACCAAGAGGCGAGGAGTAAAAGTAAAGTCTCAAGATCGCGAAGCCCCTTTGTTCGATCGTCAAGTGTACCCCACAAGCTCGACGACGATGACAAAAAGCTTAACGCTTCCAGAACCAACAGCTGACAAAAAAGTAATCCATATATCCTTCATCACTCTCGATTTTCATATAACGCTCGCTAATCTATTTCACAATTCTGCTATCGTGATTAATAGTTATCATATCTTGATATTTTCGAGTGTCATTTCTCCCTAATATTTATATTACATATTTTAATTTTAAATTATAATACTCCTATTTGTTGGTAAGAGGATCTTTAAAATATGAAAGACGCGTTGTCCTAAAATAAAATTTTCAAAGTCCAAGGGAATATCTCTCCCGATAATTC